TGTATCACTAGTATGCTCATTTTAGTTCTTTTGGATAAATAGCCAGGAGTGGGATATCTGGGTCATAAGGTAGCTCCATTCTAGATCTTTGAGGAGTACCCACACTTCTTTCCAAAGTGGCTATAAACTAATTTGCTCTCCCACCAACAATGTATAAGTGTACCTTTTCCCCCATATTCTCACCAGTATTTATTATTATTTGCATCCTTGAAGATTGGCATTCTAATTGGAGATGAAACCTCAATGTAGTTTTTGATTTGCATTTTCCTGATTCTGATGGATGTTGGATATTTTTTCATATATTTCTTGGTCATTTGTATTTATAAGAGACATTTTTAAAAATAAATTTGGACAGGAACTCTCTTTCGCCTACTCTTAAAATCAGTAAAGTCTTGATTTCGGTAAAAACTTAAAACCTGGCACTTTACATAACAACTTAAATGCAGTGTGTTAGGAAGCTGCATTGCAACCAATTTGTTGTAAATTTTACCTCTGAAACACAGTTTTAGCATGCTTTCTCTATAATCATTTAATATGGACTAAATATATTTTGTTCAGTCATAAAATAATATGATAATACCTACTTGAAATTATTGTTCGATTATTCGCGTATGACAAATGGGTTAAGCTCCTCTTATACTTAAGAAACTGTGCTAGTCATGGGGATTGTGGTGGTAAACAAGATTGCTCTGTCAAAGAGTATATAATAGAATGAAGTGAGATGATACAAGAAAAGTGCTTGGTTCAATGATTGCTGTGGAATTACATCATGCCTGTAACTCAGAAAAACTTGTCCTTTGCAGTTACAACGTCCAAAAATAGTCTTGCCATGTGAGCATTTTGTTAAACCCAAGTCTGAAGTGGTACTCACCGACTGAGGTGAAAGCTCAGCTTCAGGTTTCATTAGCAGCACACTCTGGTCTACAGCCCTGAGGGCGCAGAGGGAAAAGGGCGTGGCTTTGACCTTCAGGTGATTGTCTGAGGCTGGCAAGCCCTGGACTGATGAGAAACTCAAATTTACCTGTAAAGAGGATATGATCATAGCAGCAACTTTTGTAAATATTACAGTCTCACACCTCTCTTACTCCAGGCCAAGATGAGTCTTTTTGACCTTTTCTTTCTCTCTTTCCTTCTTCGAGCAGACATAAGAGATGAATTTTCCCAGGAACCACCAATTAAATATCCTTGGAATAATCTAGACATGAGGTTCCAGTTAACTTAGGTTTCTTATTCTTTATATAACTGGGGAAATATAAGTTGGCTTGGATCACATAGAATTCGAATCCTGGACTGGGATTGAAAACACGTATGCTAAGTGTAAGTGGCTGCCCTATTTCTGTGCAGTGTATTGTGATGAATGTGTGTGCTTTGTAAGATTCTGTGAAAAATCACATTCAGCATTTTAATTGGTCAACTGAATTCTCTTCCAGCTGGATATCTTAGCCACATGAAATCTTAAAGCAGGGTACTACTGATAATCATGGTTGGCTATTTATTGGGTCATTTAAAAAATAACTCATGATATTCTAAGTTTTAAATTCTGTAAAAATAATAAATAGTAAAATATTATTATTTTAAAGTTACCATAAGTGGTATATTTGTTGCTCAATTTAAGTTTTATATAGATTATCCACAGATAGGATGATGGAATAAAATAGGTTAAACATCTAATACATGCATATCCTAAGTGTTTTTAGGGAATTCAAACACCTGTGAATAAAGATCAATAACAACAGAATAATGGGAAATGATGCATT